CCTAGTAGTTAAGCTGTCTGCCTCCCTACCCAATGATAACTGGTTTGAGACCTACTTTGGTCACGACCATGTTTCTTCATATGACACCAGTACTGGTTGTTCTAGGAAGTGGATTCGAAAGTGATTAATATAAGTTGCAAGAATTTGTTTCTCAATCAAACTTAAATAGATATGTTTAAACTATACTAATAATGTTTTAATCATGGATTAAGAGCATATTCGATGGTAAACAACTGCAAGAAGTGTGACTAAACGTGTAGTTATGTAAGGTAAACAGTTTAGTTTGTTGACTTCCATAAAAAATACTACATAATTCACTAGAATTATACCAATAACCAACAGAGGAAAAATATCATGTATGTGTGCAAACACGTATTTTTTCAAAATCTGTAAAAGATACAAAAATAAGGTTTTTAAGAAATAAAATTGATTGCATTTCTGAGGCATATGTGCATTTAAAGCATAGGTTAAAACATTTTACTAAATCATTTGACTTTGAATCGGATGACCCTGTTTCGATTCCTGGACGGTGCAGGTCACTTTCGTTGTGATACGGCCATTCGCACCGTACCTATGCTCTGGCATGTGCAGTACTTTCAGTTCCTTGCTAAAGTGGAGGCAACTAGTACTGGTGAACTGCTTGACAGCCTGCCCAGGAACAATGCGGTAGCTGAACTGTGCTCTGGTATATTCTACGTGGCTTACAGCCGTGATCCGGAATGAAAACTGCGAACACCACCATCACCACCACCAAATCACGCGTTTAAATATTTCATAACTCATACTAACCAAATCTGACAACTAATCATGTATCTTAATGAAGATTAAATTCAGATGTTTATGTTTATTCCAGATGCTTCGAGTACATGTTATATCAAAACAAAAACGGGTAGTAGCCAAGATCCAGTACACGACGCACACTAGAATAATAAGTTTACATGTATCATACGGTATAAGTTTGTGTGTCTTTAGAAAAGGAGGCAAACGTGAGTTAATACAAGTGATAAAATATTTTAATTTTAAATGTGGCCTTCTTAACCATATAAAGCAACACAAGCACAAAACATCATAAAACAATAATAACTTCCATTAAGATTTTGTGCAATAACTTTTTTTGACAAACGCTTCTGTTAAATATCAAATATAATTTATACAATTTTCATGCAATTTATTTTAACAAATATACATGCATGATAAGTATTACAACATAATGAAATGATGAGTCATGACCATATTTATTTGATCTGCAAGATATGTTTCTATACGTTTTTAAAGGATGTCAGAGAATTAGATTAGATGGTATTCTATTCTAAATCTTTGCACCATTGTAACAAAATGTTTTTTTACCATAGTTTGTGCGGTGTTTAGGTATAACTATGTCATTATGTGATGCTGGTCTTACATTATGAATTTCATTGCTGGAAAAAGTCAAAACTTCAGATATAAAAGATTGGGCTAGGTTATTATAAGCCTTATAAATAAGCATTCCAGTATGAAAATTATATCGTTCATTAAACGTCATCCACCCAAGTCCTATCATTCCCAGTGTTATCATTTAAAGGCAAACTTCATGAGTTTTACCTTAACACCATGTATCCGTAAAATGTGTGAAAATGACAAGTTTTAGAAATGACAGTCTTTGAAAAGGCATTACAAAAAACATGTATTGATTTCATATCTATACTATTGTTACATGCTCTTAAGTAGAAAGTGAAATTATCTTTTGAAATGTCACAGTCAAACTTTCAAAATATAATTTAATTGTCAAAGTAAAACTTAAAAGAATAAATCACAAATTATAAAAAAAAAAAATTGTCACAACACGTCGGAGGTAGTGAAAAGTTAAAATAACGGAGTAGCACACATTTATTTCAGCACATCACGCTTAATTGTAAACTTGGCAAACCCGAGGGAAACAGGCAGCGAAGAGGCTACTTTTTACATTTTACTGGTAGACGGACGACATGCGATACGATATTATCTAAAATGTCGCTTCGCATTGTCGAGCGTCATTTGAACTTGTAGCGCGTCGACCCTCAAACAAAACCGCGACAGGCGACATACGATATGACACTGGGAAAATGTCGCTTCGCATTGTCGAGCGTCGTTTGAGATGGGGCGTGTCGTTTGATAATGTCGCCGTCGCATTTGCAGGGTCGACTCACGACAACGCGAAGCGACATCGCAACAACGTGAAGTGACATAGCGACAATGCGATACGACACTCGACAATGCGAAGCGACACCGCGATATATCGTGCTTTTATAGGCGACATTTTAAAGTGGATATCGTGACATTGTCGTTTGAGATTGTCGCCGTCGTTTGCGATTGTCGGGTGTCACTTCGTAATAACGCTATGTCATTTCGCGTTGTCGTGTGTCGACTATGCAAATGCGACAGCGACATTATGAATGGTCCCATTAGGATTCCGTACATGGGAAGGAATTATGGCAAAATAAACTAATTTTGACTTTCACCTGTTTACTAACTATATAACCTTGGATGGCCGTAATGTCACTTTAATTTTATGCTGTCTTAATTTCTAATTTTTAACAGACGGAAGGCCGAAATCAATATTTACCATTTTGCATAACTATACACTTCCGATAACCGTCCAGTTTGCGAAGAATCACAGACTTACAGTTGATAAACACACTGTCGACGTTAGCAACATCCCGCGCATGGAACTCCTACAGATCTATGACGAGATTAACCTTTTGTCAAATTATATAATTGACGGTTTGTATATTTTTTTCTGCAATTTAAATTTGTTCGTTGACTTAATTTATGAAACGTATGTACACCTAGAATGCAAAGTGTTCTTTTGATATGTATGAAATATATTTATATAAATTATTATGTAAAAATGTGTACAAAAATATCTCATTTTATAACATACACGTGGTAGCAGTATTGCTTTGCAATGTGCATAGATTTTGACGTGACTTCATTTTCGTTATGCAAAGACGCACTACACGTTAGAGTTACAATATAGGCGCGTCAATAAATAAGTTAACTTTTCACTATAAACAGTTTGTATTTTGTATAAACAGATAAAGTGATAACTAGAATGTATGTTCATTAAAAAAATAATTGAAAGTCGTTAACAAAAATAATATTAACCTCTCCAGATGTTCGCATACTTGGCACAGAGGCGACATTTGTGGGTGTTTATTTATCAAGATACTCTGTCGTGGCCACAAGTTACTAAGTGCGAACAAGAAACTGAGTTACTAAGTGGTGCGCACGAGATAATTAAGTGGTGTGCACGAGATATTATGTCGTACGCACGAGGTACTATGTCATAGAAACACACACATGTCACATCTTTGCCACCGTATTCGCATAACAAAGTTGTAATAAATTCAGTATTGAACCTAAACCGATTTATATCCATAGCTTAAAGAAAGTACTTTTAAAATAAAAAAGTAAATGTGGACTTAAAACATCTTATTTCCGTTTTATTTACTTTTAAATTATAATTATCAGATAAGATAAAAAAAAAAGTAAAAAAAAAGAAAACAAAAAAAGATTGAATACGTAATAGATCATAAAAAGTGGCAATTCTATACGCATGTCAACATCAGACGTTAGGATAATTTATTAAGAGCTTAAACGGAGTAGACGGACACAACCACTGTTGTACAACGTCCACCGGAAATAAATTTTGATAAAAGCAGCTCGAGTTGATGCGTGACCACTCAAATATAAGTAGAGGGAAGTCATTATTTTGTATTGAAGGCGGCAAATGTCAACAAATACGCTACAATTTATCGCCAATTTAACAAAAAGTATTCAATTTGAAGAAAAATCAAATATTTCTCTAAAACCAGATATATTTAGCTTCACAAAATTGTTTAGTTTGGAAAATCGATTAAGTAATGATGGAGAAATTAGTTGAAACATTACCTCGGATAAACTCGACGAACACTTATTACTTTCGTTTTCAATGTTTTGAGGGACTGTTTCCGGTGAACGCTGTACAACAGTGACAACTATTTTGACCACGTTACTTTATTGAGATATGTCTTTACAATAAATGACCGACTACGGAACCATATCAAAGACATTTACATAACAATGTTGATCATTTAAAGATATTGTAAATTTAATATATTCATTCATTCATTCATTCATTCATTCAAATTACAGGTAAAATGAGTGAAGACATTGTTTACATACCAGTTTATCTGTCACAAGTGAGACTGGCAGTGGTGACAGGTATTAAAGGTCAAACAGAGGGTACATGGAACGTCTTTCAACAGAAGTTAAATCATACTGCCAGTGATATAGAATTTGATAACGAATTTGGAAATCCACGTAAGATGACTATTTCTCTGAAAAGTCACATGTTATATTAAGCAGTGCTGGCGCTGAAATGCATATCCCACTTTATAGTTTTAGAAATGTTTTGTCCATATAGAAACTGGCTTGCATATGGACGTGACTTGAACAGTCAGGTGTTTGCGTTCGGACAGACACTATAGACATATTGAGACACACCTAGCACTTATAAGGATCTAATTTATTGTAGGGAATCTCATAATGTCACAATTTGTATTTTTTTAAGTTCACAAACATTATCTGAAATAAAGTGTTTGTAAACATTCGTTTATGCTAGTTATATTTTTCTAAATAATTTTGAATAATAATACATGGCTTTTTGTTATTACAACAATTTTTACCAGATTTAATTCGTTTAAGATTTGATTTGCTTTTTTAAACTATCGACTATAGACTGGCTCATTGACACGTTATTTATAATGTAGATAAAATTAGATAATGATAAAAATAATATGATATTTAAACATGGCACTTTCACTTCAGTTAAACGTTTATTCTTATCCTTTTAAGCTCTGTGACATGTTATACATCAGAAAAACTTTTTTATTAGAAAATTGGAAAACAGTGTGATTTTGTTTAAACAAAAACAAATACACAGAGTAAAGTCTAAAATTTTCCCCATTGCTGTATAGACAATTGCATATCTACAAGACGCCGCGTGCACGCAGCGTCTAAATATTTCGAAATGTTCCCTTAAACTGATGAATGGTTTCGTCCACATTGAACGATGGGCAAGCCAATTTAATGTATTAAGCGTTGTCCTTGTAGTTTAGATTAAATGGAATAATGCAATTTTGGTATTAAGGTAAATGATTGTCACTGTATATAACGTTTCTTCACAATTTTTATTACGCATGTTAAACTCGATCTACATTCTATTAAAGATATACTATGCTCAAATTTGATATCAGGAATTATTGGTTATTGCTACACAGTCTCATTGTAAATATAAAATAAATACGTTTGACTTCACACAAAGTAGATATTTTATGTTTAAAACTCTACACACTATAGGTGGTCACAATATGAATACATAGTGTCGTTTAAAAAAACTGGCAGTTTTTTTAAAGAAAATACCAACTTTACATGTCCTGTAAAAAAGAACGCGACTTCCAATACATAGTTAATTCGGTTTTTTATTCAAATTAGACATATTCAGTAAGGATTTCATAGGTTTTAACATATTTCTTTGATTAAAATATTGTACTCAAAGATGAGCATAGTATATCTTTAAAGCAGGCAAACATTTGGTGTTTTCAGATATTGCCGAGTATGACACTAGTACAGTTCACACTGGTAACACGTACACGTATATTGAACCGACATCTTACTGTAAAATTCTCAGTCTTGTAAGCAAATCACCACATAAATCATTTGACACTGCATCCTCGAACCAAGTACATAATCATCAAGATCAAGGCCAAGGTCTAAACGATTACGAGGAAATTGACATCACGGCGCGTGAGAATCAAACGACACTTGAACCATATGACAAGCTCATGATGTCACAGTCAAAGACAAGTCAGTTGACGTCAAAATTACATAAGCACAATAGAAAATATCATGTGACACCACCAGCGCTCCCAGAACGGAAGCCATTACCTGGTCTTCCTGCATTAGTTTCAAAGGATAATAGTGCGGAATCAATATATGAAAATGGTGTACCACGAACGAATTTAGCACCATCAACGCACACCAGCCCAAAACTTAAACCTAAGCCATCACCTGGAGCCGTGAGTAAATTTGTACGTGAAGTTAAAAGGCATGCTGACGTAAAGAAACTGAGTATCGACGAGGTTGTCGAGTATCTTAAAAAACTGAACCTAGGAAAATATGCTGATACTTTTAAGACTGAGCAAATTGATGGTCGACTGCTTATACAACTGGACAAAGACATGCTGAAAGAAGATTTTGATATGAAAGGTGTGGAGGCACTGAGACTTGTTACCTTTGCCAAAAAAGGCCACGTGCCATATTAGATCAGCCCGGGATTGGGTACTACTATCTGAACGTGATAAACTTTTCATTTGTTAAAGTTTTGTTTGTGAATTTGTAGCGTCGATGCCCACTTATAAGTAATAGTGTGTAACCAAGTGCTATTTCTAAGATTAATTGTTATTTTCCAAGAAAGACAACTCTGTCGACCTTGTTTGATTTTTACTCGTAACTTTGTATCATTATGTCCCTTTGACCAAATCTGCTATGTTTCCCTCCTAAAGTTATGGTCACCTGAGATCAGTGTTTGTATAATCAGAAGTTGTTGGTCATTGTGGCATGTACGAGTATATGTGTTTTTCTTACTTCGAAATCAGTATTTAAACATTAAGGTTTGAGTAATTTGGTATTGGTATATTCTTAAAAGAGCTTATGTCAACATAATAAAAACTTATTTCAATTAATAAGTTGTGGTTTTGATACAAATCATTTTGATAAATTAGTAATATTCTTGAGTGTTAGAATTCAAGATGACAGCATACTTCCTTGTCTTATAGTTATTCATAGAAATCACTGTTTCTATTTGTTATATACTGATGTTTGTAATTTACAGTTATAAATACAGCATAATTAACAGCACAGTGAGACAGACAGGTGTGAGGTTGCAAGAGTTTGATCCACAATTTGTATGTTATATTATGTTCATATGTAATTGGTTATATATTTTGGAACTATATATATTAAGGTAATTATTCTATAAATAACTGGTTAAGTGGTTACAAGATGCAAGAATATATCTAGATATGTGTTTTGTGTTTAGATTATACATTAAGAAAAGGTGCAATTCTTAGAATATTTAAATGCCTGACTGATCTGTTGATATAAGGGATTTGTTATATTTAAAGATATTATATATATTGAATCATATATTTCGTTATGGTCAGGAATGCTATTGCCATGCTAAAATATACTATATGTAAGCTATGCAAAATGTGTTGTTGATATGATTTTTATGTTTCATTGATGTACTGTATATAAAGTGTCTAGTACAGTTTTACTAGTAGCAGAAGACATGAGGTGTCACTCTATGCATTAACTAAGACACGAGCAAGCACCTTAGTGGAACCATAGATGCTCCCTAAGCTAGCTTGATAGCTTCCATGCATCTAAGAAGCTATCAAGCTACCTAAAAGAACGTTGGTGTTGCTACTTAGCAGCCGCCTGTACCCAAATTTGAATGGCTTTGTCCTAAACGAAAAAAAAAAGAAAGAAAGAAAGAACTAACGAACTAACGTAACAAAATCGATAAAATATTTTGGAAGCTGCATATCACAAGTAATATTAATTTAAAAAGCAGACGACATAATTATAAAGATATTTGAACAATTCCTTTGTAGAAAAACAGCTACAACTCAACAAAGGAAAGCTTACATTAAAAGAATGCAAATACAAATGGTCAAGCACAAATCTGAAAAGTCTTCACACAAGACTGAAAAGTGTCGACCGAAAAGAAAAAAAAGAAAAAAAAAAGAAAAAGATAATTATAAAACAAATAGATAAAAAAAATCATTAATCATATTCATCAGCCACTAAATCTACCCATTCGATTGCCATAGCTGTCTGTATCATAGTCTGCAGTATTCGTTATTCAGTCAGTACTTTTTATAATAATTTTGCTTTTTTTTGCCGGACTAACACATTATGTCAAGACTTGAAAAACACGCCCATTTTAAATACTTAAAGGGTTTAGAATTAAATGAATAAAATTTATTATGCCAATCATGAATCTTGTTTTTCAAAGAGGCTTGGAGCTAATATAGCTTAAGAGATTTTCCCTTCAATGATAATCTCACGTATAAATATAACTTAACGGACTTATGCTATGTCTGAATTTTGTTATATGTAAATACCAATTAGCTCTAATTAAGTTAAGAATGTTATTGTCTCGAGAGAGAGAGACAGCGATACACGGTAGAGAATCAATTAGCTGTCCATTATTGTCCTCATGATGAACTTTACACGACAATGAATAGATATTATACTGGAATGTCCCAATAACGATAATCCGATGTTTGCGGTGTTTTCCATCCCTTGTGACTGAGGGTTGAGCTCAGAATTGCTGCCACCGTTTATCCCTGCCGTTTATATTATTTTTTTGTTGAACATTTTAGTTAGAATTAGCATTACAAGGCTATAAATAACGTGTTAAAGATCTTTTATTTTGTAATTGAGGTTTTTACCACACTTAAGTGAAATATATATTATATGCTTATAAAACGATATTCAAACATCGAAGAATATAAAAAATATGTACTGCAAATATTTGTGCACATAATATGTAATCAGTAAAATATATGCATTCATTTCTTATTGAAAAATTTGACTTAGACTTTATCGAAAATAAATTTCTAATTACCTCCCTTTATTTACATGAAATGTTGAATTCGGTAATATCGTTATAACAAATGCTTTTTGGAACTTACAAAATTGATAAATCTGATATTGAGCATCATATTTATGATATAAAACCATAAAAAATGTGTTACAGGATCTTTAAAATGACTTTATTAATCAAGGTAGCTTATTTCAAGACAATGTGAAACATTAGACATAACAGGAAGAGAAGACGACATGGTAAAGTAGCGAGAATAGTAAACAGACAACTGTTAAATAAAGGAAACTGTATAAAACAGTGTAATCTATCATGATTTATACACGATAAAACTTTATCTCTTAGACAGTTCAATTACGGCTATGTAACATATATTCATTTAACATGAATCCAATACTTAACCATCGGTTAAAAACTAAAAATAACAATGAATTTCTAAACAATAAACAATTCTACTTCTTTATAAGATTTTTAAATTTCAAGCAACATGTGGTTCACTTTTATTAGAAATTCTGTCAGTTCTATTCATATGTGCAAAAATCATTACAAGAAAAACTTTAAGAACTATTCGTACCGTAAGTTAATTATAGAACAAGTAAAATGAATGCAAAAAAGTATTACTTGTTGAATTGTTTATGCAAAGCAATGTTACACATTTCATATGAGATTCTATCAGTATTTGTATTTTAATGGATATTATGCATTATCAGCTATGCTATAGAAGATTGTGAAAAAAGAGTGAAAAATAAATCTATAAAAAAAACTCTTCCCAATTTTAATCCTGAATATGCCTTGCTGTCCGTAGATGATTTTACCTATGATTATCTACCTGTGTAATAATTGCAGGATAACACCGCTCGGCATAAAGGTGCCGTCACGTGTGTAATTTAGACATATTCTGATTTTTTTCTAACAATGCATATATATAGTTTTGTCCAAATTAAAAGATGGAACAAATTCTATTTGAAATATTTAGAATGATAAAGGTTAAACGTTTTAAGTGAACATATAACAGCATCTTGTATATTTACATTGAATTTAGTAATAAATAAAAAGAACAACAGCAAAAAATAACAAATAAAACAAAAAACATTAGACAAAATGTCATTAATTTCAATATGTTTTAAGTTGAACGAAACAAGAACACGGTCAAAAAATCTTTTCACTCCAAGGGCAGCATAAAATACTACTATACTGATATTATAATAAGTTCTTTCAAACATTTCTTCCACGGTTGTATACGGTATCAATAGAACGATGTCTCACACAAGTTTGATTATGCCTGTTGACCTCAAAACGTTTCCCTAATAGCACATTAAAATGTGAATTCATCACAATTATATGACATGGAGAAGCCGTACAAACTGATGAGGGAGAAATTACCTCCTTCGACACCATGCCTGAATAAATTCTGAAACATTTGAAAAGGTACAACTTTTAAAATAAAATGAGTCGTTACACAAACTAATATGATCATAGCTTAAGGTAAATTGTCCTATAAAGGAAGGTCTGTATTGTCATATATAAATATGTGCCTATAAAAGACCAATGCGCTTTAAAACACAAACTACAATATTCACGAAAAGTCTAGAAGTACTAATTTGAAAAAAATGTCTACAGTTTGAAAATATAAACTATAATTTAAACTGAACAGAGAAAGTCATCCACATATTGCAAACGACACTTTCAATCCAAATAAATTACAAATTAAAAATATACAAAAAACCCTTACTGCGTTACTCACGCAGTAGAAATATTGTGATAAATACTGCAAAATAAGTCATTCATTATATGTAACATGTACATTATTACTTGAATCGTAAATAGTTTTGCTTTTCTTAACATCTAAGTACATTTTCTTAAGATTGATGTTCTTGAAATTAATTATATTGCTGATCTGGTTGCATGCAGCTTAAAGATATATACAAACTGTACATGTTTACATCTAGTAATACCACTTTTTAATTTTTGGTGTCCTGTTACTTTACCTAAAATGAACTAAACGGTCAAAAAGGAAAGCCATATTTTTACATATTTTTGTTCTTAGGCAGTAAATATAGTTATACAGTGATTAAGTATTTTGTACGGAAGTCAAAATACAGCTTAGTTTACATTTTGCTACCCTTTACTACACATTATTTCACATTTAGCACTGCTTTCTACCAGTGATAAGCATCTAACCTGTTTTAAATCAATAAAATACATGTACATTGATTGGCACATATAAAGATACAATAACGTTACCTTCATAATCAACTTTACCATCATCATCAACGTGAGCAAGTTTCATCATGTCATCAAACTCCCTGTCAGTAAGACATTCTCCCATTGTTTTCAATGCTGTTCTAAATGAAACAATTTAACTCTATGTTTTAACGATTAAAGAATTTAAATAATTATAGACTTAAATATAAATTACAAATACTTCTTCCCTTTATAAATATTGATGGCATGAACTGCTTTCCTCAATCATTTTAACTGTCTACATTTAATCTTTTATCTGTATGGTTTTCAGAAACAGTATTAAATTTATTATAAAGTTCGGTTAGATAAGATAATTGTTATGAATAATTCTTTTTTACAAAATTGACTCAATTTGATTTAACATATATATAAATTATCACCATATTGTAGAAACGCACAAATCAATTTGAATCAATTAAAATAAAAATCGAAACCTGCATATGTTTGATATGTTAATATTACAGTATTAATAGAATTTAGCTTGATTTATTTTTAACCAATATGAATTATATGATTTGGTTTTAAAATTCGGTGATCTTTACCATTGTCATATAATCTCTTCGATATACATGTATATTAGATATTTAATGTAATAACATTCAAAAATTTATTTGCATTTAATAATTGATTTCATTTTCTTAAATACTATATTGATAATAAATATTTTAATTTGAGATAATAAAAATACCTTAATTCATTTTCATCAACAAAGCCATTTCCCTCTTTGTCAAATGTCTGAAATGCCAAACGTATAACGTCCTCTTTTGTTGTGTAGTACCCGTCATCTTTTTAAACAAATACATAAAATTAATTTCAAATAAAATAAGTCATATATGTCAATAGTTGGTAAATATTGTGTTTATTTGTATGGTTAGAAACCCTTTACCTGTGGTAACCGGAAAATTAGTTGCTATTAGTGTAGAGCCCTGCAAGCTAGTAATATTCTCGAAAAAGGCAATGATAAGTTCCAAAACAGGTCGCTGGACAAATCCATGTAAGAAATTTAAGAAACTTAAGATTATGATTATTTTCACTAAATTTAGCTTGTTAAATGCATTAGAAGAGCTTTTAAAATCATATGGTTTTTTTCCAGCTTTTAATCTGTTTTATTTTATTTATCTTTATATGGTTACAAAATATTATCTTGAAACTTTAGTTTGATCAAATGTGCAATTATTTTTAACATCAACCAACTTATTTTTTCAATGGTGCGGACTCATTAAGATACAGAACTGTAAATTTGATGGACGTCAATTTGGTAGGTAGCTGGTAGTTTTATGTTAGAAAATACAACTACATTCACTACCAAATTGACGCTCAAGTAAATGTGTACAATTTGAAGAAGCAACTATACATACTGACTTTCGACATCTCTCGCTTTATGAACGTGAAGAATTCTTGAAATTTTATCTTTCCAGTACCTGTAATAGAGATCTATTTGAGATAGGCAAATGCGTACGTTTGGTGGAGCGGAAATATGGGCATTGGTTTAACAGTTTATTGTAACGACTTACACTTTTACAAGCGTACTTATTTTGTGACTTCAGCAAACATTTTAGCTGTATTTTCAGAACATCTATAGACTTAATAAACTTAATTACATTCTTTAAACGTTGGAAAAAATGTGTTTTAGCGAGTTGAAGGTTTATCCAACGTAGTACGTAGTTACTTGTAGTAATGGATAGTAACGCTGAAGAGTAGCTGTATATGGAACCACCGCCAGCATAAAAATTTTGCAAACGGATTGCTTAACCTGCTTTTCTTAAATGAATAATTTTACCAATTATACTACAAATTGAAAAATTGAAAGAGAAAAGAATATGTTAAATGCAAAACAAAAAACAACAAACAATAACACCAGCAACAAAAAACAACAACAACAACAAAAAGCAACAATAAACAACAACAAAAACAAAATAACAACAACAACACGCAACAAAAAACAACAACAACAAAAAACAACAACAAAACAACAACAACAAAAAACAACAACAACAACAACAAAAAAACAACAACAACAACAAAAAACAACAACAACAAAACAACAACAAAAAGCCCCAACAACAACAAAACATATTTATTACCATTAACATCGAGCACTTTCATTGCTATTTCTACCTCTTCATCAGTAGGACTCATACCTAGAAACATCATCGCCTTGCCAAGTTCTAGAGCTGATAATGTTTTACTGTTGTCCGTGTCAAACAACTGAAATAACTCCCGGATGTCTGTGTACAATATACCGTCAAAATGTAATTACATTTTCCCCATTATTTTTAAATTAGCAAATGTATATTTGTTATTTTATATACCTTTTCCCTATTATCTTAAATTAGTTAATGTATAAATGTTATTATATATATCCGTTAATATTTTCATAAAGTAAGGTTTGAAATGCTTAAACATCTAGAAGTCCAATACATTTATATTTTGAATGTTCTTAAAGAAATCTGGCAAAAAGTTCGGACAGTAACCATAAGCACTGTTTAATCAGGCATAACAAAAAGAATAGTCACATTTGTACTCTACGTGTTATCCATTCAAAATGATGAAATAAGGAAAAATGTTAAACTTTAAATTTAAAAGTCTAACACAACAAAATTGAAAATGCTGCAGACTCGGCTTGACTGGGCCTGTTCATGGGCGGCAGTGCTAACTACTGTCCACGGTAAATTGTTTTTGTTATGTTTGGAATTTGCACTCCTATATTAGTATTTTAAGAATCATATCTAAATGACTTAGATTAGGACAAAACTTGCCTGATTCAAAATTTCTTTCAGCCTTTTCGGTCTCATCTTGTCCTATAAAGAATAATAAATCGAACACAAATCAAAGTTTAAAACTAACTGGATAATCAGTGCGAAAATGAAACGATTATTTTCAGATACACATTTTTCATTGCAATATAATGCATTTCGCATCGCACAGTTGTAACCAAGCAGTAAATAGCTAGGTGTTTTAATAAACATCTACAATAAATCCAACACTATCTTTCGGTCTCAAATTTACTTAGAATGTCACAAGCGCACAAAATAGGCAACCATATACATTTCGAATTTTGTCCACCCCGATGCTACATCAAAACAAGAGCATAGCCTGCGGTGTTAACGCTCGTTTGTTAAAATTCCAACTGAAAAAGGGGCATAAATAAACAAGTATTGCTTTCAGAATCATGGCCCTTGTCTAACAACTGCACCTTGTCAAGATAAGCAAGTGCATGTATTCCATAATTCATGTTGATAACTTTGAAAATAATTTGCACGACGTTGACGACGACAACGAGGACGACAACAACGACTTCGCATTGATCATAATAGCTCTTTTTTTTCGAAACAGACGAGCTAAAATCACTTCGAGAAGGAAAACACGATGACAAACACTCAAAATGACCTCCTCTTAAATTAATTAAAAGTCAACATTGATTTTTAAAAGCATATCGATTAAGAGTGATAACTTTTTTCTTTAATTGTGTGGATCAATTTAATAATATTTTCTTTAAAAGTCTAAAAACAAAAAAGCCTAAGTGACTGACATTGGTTTATTGCTCTTATTGACATTACCTTCTTCTTTAGGTGTGTAGGTTCCTTCAGTACTGACAGTCTGTCAAATGAAAATAAAATTCATAATCTATAATAAATTGTTTCAAATTTACGCTAAAACAGTGAAAATTAATAATAATTATAGATATATGTTGATTTGAAACATGTGTACATTTTATTTTTACAGACGAGGCTGAAAACCTGTGTACTCTGCCCTTCGCCCTTTTTACTAAAATAACTTGGCATATTTCAATTTGCATAGAGAACAGTCTAGAGAAAAACTAGATTGTGCAGATAAATGCATCCCTCCAAACATTATTGATACTAAAATGCACAGACAATATGAAAAAGATACATTTTATCAAACGAACACTGAGAACTAAAACTTAACTTTAAACTAAACAGTTAACAAAACGTTTCTGATGAAATGAAATCGCATGTGATAATGACAAAAGACGAGAATAAAGATCAACAAGACAAAGGCAACGTTCACCGGACGCAGTCCATGACACACCAAAGCTACCACAACAGGGCACCCAGAAGGCACTAAACCAAAACCGGGAGTGGACATAGGGACGGCGTAAGGAGGAGAGGGACAAGTTATGTGTGAAATAATAAAAACGGGTCCATACACCTTCCTCCGACATTATATGATATCGCCAGAGTACGATCCGACATTATATGATATCGCCAGAGTACAATCCGACATTATATGATATCGCCAGAGTACAATCCGACATTATATGATATCGCCAGAGTACAATTTATATGTTTATATCTGAATACGAAAACAAAATTATGTTGACAAATGAACAAAGATTAGTTTACCTTTTCCGTGTTTGGTCTACAACAGTTCATCCTAGTTTATGTTGTTGCGTGTATAGTCCTGTATTGCTTATCCTTTAATCTGAATGTTTATCTTTTGATTTTTATCAATCAAACAGACCCTGTTTTTGGTTCGTTGTATAAACAGGTTATTGAAACAGTTTGATTTAAGTGACGTATTCTTTTATCACTATAATATTAATTGTGTCATCTAAATAAAATCAAAATGATTAAGAAATTAATACATTTGTTTTTTAAAAAGATATAGCTGTGTACCATTTTGGATAATTATACATTATACCATAAACTGTTTCTAAGCCAACTTCACGTAATATTAATAATAATAATAATAAGAAGAATAAGAATAATATATACAAGAGCTGTCGGTAGGACAGCACGCTCGACTATTCTAAGTGCTTGATAGTATGACCCTCCAATTATGACCCTAAGTGCATGTGTAATGTTTCAAGTAAATATCTTTGAAGAACTTTAACCTTAAACCAAAAGTTTCAAAGGGGAAAATAATTCTGCAAATATTGCAGGCACAGTTATAAAATTTTGCAAACTGATGTACATTGTTACTATAAAATAGTATTTTAAATTTCAATTGAATATCTCAAGCAATAATTGAGATATTTGACTTTACAAAAAAACTTTAACCAAAATTTCTAAGTTCCAAAGGGGCATAATTCTGTCAATATTGTAGGCATAGTTATCCAACTTGTCAATCTGATGTATCTTGTTACTATAAATAAGTATTGTAAGTTTCAATTGAATATCTCAAGCAATGATTGAGATATTTGACTTTACAAAAAACTTTAACCAAAAGTTCTAAGTTAAAAAGGGGCATAATTCTGTCAATATTGTAGGCATAGTTATCCAACTTGTCAATCTGATGTACCTTGATACTAGAAATAAGTATTGTAAGTTTCAATTGAATATCTCAAGCAATAATTGAGATATTTGACTTTACAAAAAACTTTAACCAAAATTTCTAAGTTACAAAGGGGCATAATTCTGTCAATATTGTAGGCAGAGTTATCCAACTTGTCAATCCGATGTACCTTGTTACTATAAATAAGTATTGTAAGTTTCAATTGAATATCTCAAGTAATAATTGAGATATTTGACTTCACAAAAAACTTTAACCAACGCAGACGCCGACGCGGACGCTGACGCCGACGCCGGGGCGACTACAATAGCTCTCATATTCTTCGAATAGTCGAGCTAAAAATGCAATGAATACTTAAAAGTTGAATAACCCGACTAGTGTTTTACCGACCTTTCTAAGTACTTGAATACCACATTTATTATTGTTCAGATATAATTGAAAAAAAAAACTCGTTATTTTCCTTTAAACATGATTACTCAAGTTCGAATGTGAAAGCTTCTTTAATCTAATATTAACCACTTTCAATATGGCGTGGTCCGAGTTGGGTAAGAACCAAAAATATTTGAGTTAAGAGGCAGACGTCTACAAGTCCACTATTTCTATAACCGTTGATGATTTAAACAATATATAAATTGACTTAAACATATACAATACAATATATTGAATAAACTTTTATTATTACATACTAAATTTAAGGACGGAGTGACCTTTATAATAATAGTTCTTATATGTAGTATTATTGCTTGTCTTGATAGCTTAATTCCAAACCTTTAACTCTTGTCAGGCTCTTAAGAGAACATTTTAAGAGCATAAATTATAGATATCCACGTTTCTTGTTTTTATATCCAATTTATAAAATCAATTTATCAAACATATGATTAAAACACACTGTTGTTCTTACTGTTCTATTTCTATCAATCCTTTTATAATGACACAGCAATATATCTGCTTGTTTCTTGTACGGAAATGTATGATAATATTTCAAAAGATAACCGCATGAGACAATACAAATGAGGAATTAACATAATAAAACAGTTACCAAGTATAGATCGATTTAATATATACTCATAAGTCCCATTTAGCATCATCTCTTGTTTCCGAATCATTTATGCAAATGTCAATTAATCTCAATTAGTTAATAAATGTCACCGTCTCTTTAGAGACAATGATGCAGCGTTAGTTCTTCCTTAAGGTCAAAATATTTCCGGAATGCATAGACAGTTGGGTAATTGTTTTAATTTGTACAAATTAATATTTTATTCGCTTCAATTAGGCGATATGAAACGGATATGATATTTCTCGTTATTTTACTTGTTATTGTGAAGATTATATGAATCGACTATTAATATTGTTACGATAATACGTAACTCATTTAATCACGATTTAAAGTGATTCTAAGTGTCACGTGGCCAATTATGAGTTGAAAAGTGATATTTTGTTTGTTTCATTTTACGCCTTTTCCCAACAGTATTTCAGTCATATAGGCGGTGAAAAGTGATATCACGATGAAGCAACTTCATATGGTTCCCCGAAATGTGCATCGATTGAGAAATATGTTGGTTTCCGGTGAAACATATGCTGGTAAAACTCCCATATGAGGACGGCATTTTCGGAAAATTGAACGTTGAGTTTTACAATTTTAAATTAAATTTGTAAATATGAATCATAATTAACTGCTTGTATATTTTCTCGATAATAACCAATTCATGTATTATCATTTTATTTTGTCTTTTTTGAGACTGTTTTGTTGTCGCTGGTTAAGGTGTGTCAAACATCCAACATATCTATTATGACCTAAAAGAGGCTCAAACACTATGCAATCACACAATCCTGACCCGTAATGATGTAAAACAAATCTGTAACGAATGCAGATAATTAAAGCCAAAATTCACATTGTGATCCATCTGTGGTTATGTGTTCCATATATATAAAAACAAAAAACACAGTCCATGAGTTAACTTATTTAATTATTTGCCAACCGGTTTCTCTTATGATCATCAGGGCAAATGGAACACATAACATATATATAATATATATATAAACACAAATCTTTCTTTTCACTTGAATCGCAAAAGTGAATGATCTTGTCACCTTATTCAGTCGGGCATACTATCGTTAAACTTCACTTACATTCACTTTCGGATTATTTTAATTTTAGACATTATAAAAGAAAATGACTCGGTAGGATTTAAGATGTATCTTTTCTGCACTTAAATGTGATATTCATATTGAGGTGGGTTGAAAACTATTATGCACCGGCCAATTTGCCTAAACTACGTAAAAAAGGCCAATAAACTTCCCGATCGGGAAGGATTTTGACGTTTTCTGCCTGATCGAGAAGCCTTGAAGGGGAAACACCTTGTTTCCGATCAGGAAGTATGCCCGACTGTTATAAGCTAAAGACTTCAGTACATAGATACTTGCGTATACCATAGACGAATTTTATATACAATTTTCGTTCTTAACGTGTATTTTATGAATCAGATGGAACATTTTATACTGATTAAAAGAAAAAGGAGATGTATGGACGACCTGACTCTTTATATGATTAACACGCTTAATGGCAGATATTTTTACTTTATTATCAAAAAGGATTTGTGTCTGAAAACAATAAATAAACGTCCCAAAATATACCATTTTACACCATACGGGTGTGAAACACCTCCTACTAACAACCGCGTGCGACGTCAACATTACTAATTTCTTAACCTGTGTACCCGTCCAAGTATACCCCATGCTGTTCAGTTTTTTATTTTCAATACATACAAGATGGGAATAATACCAGTTTAACCCCCGGGTTTTTAAATTTTAAGTAATATTTACGATATTAATGCAGTCAATAAATGGATATGTCTTAATTCATCCGTGTCATGGAGACGCTTGAAAAAAAGTAGTTCCTACTTACCCATAATTCTTGTGTTACCAACGCAACAGTCAGATACTTGCATAGGCTGCTACTTGCAGACAATACGCCTTTCCGAGACGTTCAAGAAGTTCAAAGTATAGGTAAAGCATTTAACAACGTTTATAATTTATGTACAACGTGTATGTTACTTGACTTAAAGCTTATTTAGCTCTTAATATAACTATTTACATCGTATCAGTTACTATTCCTTTATTTCTTTCCTGCATGTTTTTTGCCTTTATTAGACGTTCTCAACTTAGGCTATGCAATGCAAAATCTTCGTCGGAAGAGAATTCAGCACCCAAACATAATTGTCATGGCTGTAAGGATTCCTTGGAGTGGCTGAAGTTTGCTTTTTCTTCCTTTCCTTTTTGTCTCCTGAAAGCCTATAGGTATCGTATATTAGTTGATAAAGTACTACAGCGTTGTGTCTTCTTTTCTCAGTTTACTACAAGTATCTACGTAAAACAATAACAACAACAATGATAAACAATAATGACGTCACAGACGTCAACGTATCACAAAGCGCCATTTACGTACAAACTAGCGCGGGAAAGTATAATATGTAAATCTACGACATCCTGGGGGCCGCGAAAAGTAATAAATAGCACATGAAATTGCACGTATGTTATCAATGTATAAATCTGATTTAAAAGAAATGTATTACTTAATAAGAAAATGTTCATCATTTAAATCTGAAAGTCTCTGTTAACGCGGTGCATTCATTTCTTAGATTATTTAAATGATTAAGTGTATTTGAACTTTTTTCTTTTTTTTTCAGTAAGCTATTCTAAAGTCTCTATAAAATCTCGAATAATTTTCACAATTAATGATGTCTTTCATCTCTAAACATTTACAGATGAACGCCGTTGCACCGTACGATCTAATACTTGCATCTACGAAGATGTGCAAGGTTGTCCGACTGTCACTTCCGGTTTCGCCTGTTTCAGAGAAATATCTTCTCGGGAATTTAAATGTGGCAACAGTGTTCAAGTCTTTCGCTAGGCTTGACCATGACTGTTGAATATCTTCTGGGAGTGGTACATCCCACTCGTACATTTGTTTCCAAATGTCTTGTAATAGAAGTTTGGCTCGGGCGGTAACTGGGCATAGTATTCCAAGGGGGTCGTATATCTGAGATGAATATTTCAATATCACTCTCTTTGTTACATGAGAAGAAACAGGGATATCTCTCTTCACATAGGTCACTTCATCTGTTGACGGCTCCCAACGTAGACCTAGGACTTTTGTGACGTCGTCAGTATCTAATATGTTTACTCTGCCGGCTTCTTGTTGTAACATTTTGCTGTTGGAGTTCCAAGATCTCAAATTCATTCCGGCTTTGGACATCAAGGTGCGTGCTTCTTTAAAGTAATTAAGGCACTCTTCTTCTTCTTTAAAACTGGATATGACGTTATCGACGTATAAATCTCGACGTAATATTTCTGATACAGTCGTATGTGGATTTTTGTCTAAATGTTTTAGTATCGTTGCGTTGAGTATGAATGGTGAACAAGTTGCACCAAAAAGCACAACTTTAAAACGATAAGTTGAAAAGTCACTGTTGGGGTCATTCGGATCTTTCAGCCATAAAAATCTTGTCATATCTCGGTCATCTGTATGTAATCCCACCTGCAAAAACGCCTTTTCAATATCTGTTGTAACAGCATACGCATGCAGACGAAATCTCAGCAAAATTGAGGTGAGTTCATTTAAGACTGGGGGTGTTGACTGTAGGCAATCATTCAGGCTGGCATGGCGTGCTGTTTTACGGCAGCTACAATCGTATACAATTCTAATAGGTGTGGTTGAGGAATTTTTCTTTATAGGGTGATGTGGAATGTAATGGATGGGCTTTTTCGTCTGGATCTCTTTCTCTTGAACTCTTTCAATGAACCCTCGTCTCTCTTGTTCTGCAATGATATCTCCATATTTTCTTAGCATATCGGGTTCTCTGCTCAATCTTCGGACAGTACTTTCAGTGCGTTTCAGGACAATGTCATAATTTGTAGGTAGTTCCGGGTGTTCAGTTTTCCATGGTAACCGTGCAGTATACTTTCCATCTTTAAATTCAATTGACGTCAGATGATACTGTTGTCTTTCGTCTTCTAACTTCCGGTCTGTGTCATCTGATGTTATTCCTAGATTTTCTAGACTCCAGAAACGTTCTATTGATATGTCCTCTGGTATGTGAGACACCATCACGTTCAAAATCTGTTCAACACTTCTGCCACTTTTACTTGAATTGATCGGTCCAGACAGAAGGTATCCGATTTTCGATTTTACGGCAGTAGGCCCTGTGCCACGTATAACCTCGTCCTCAACAATATCCCAGTAAAAGTCGGCTCCGATTAGCAAGGAAATAGAGAACTCTTTATCATGCGTTACTGGATGTGCCAATTTTAATCGTTTAAGGTAAGGCAAACTTGAAATGTCGGAGCTATGTGTGTTATCTATAGGTGTCGCTATAGTCGGGACAATCAGTACTTTCAGTGGTATCTTCTGTCTTCTGTCTGTAACAAGATACACTGTAGCTTGGTCAAAGTGTTGCATCTGATTACTTTTGCCCCCAAATGCAGATATTCGGATCGTTTCGGATTTTTCCCTCTGTAATTGAAGCTCGTCTGCTAGAGTTTTGGTGATAAAACTTCTTTGTGCTCCTTCGTCAAAAAGTATGGTTGCTGGGCTACATATATCTTTGTAACAAACGTCAGCCATTGCTGTCTTAAGCAATAGCCCGGATCTAAATTGATGCGCGGAAGAATACATCACTGTCGCTTCAGATGTGTGCTGTGTAGAACTTTTTGCACTGGAATTTCGACCGCTATCAGACTTACAGCTAGTTGTGTGATGCTTTCTGTTACAATTCTGGCATCTCTTAGTGGATTTACACGTAAATACTTGGTGTTCACCTAAACAATTAAAACACAATTTTTTCTCTTTTATAACATTTAACTTTGACGCTACATCAGGATACTTCCGGCAATCTCTGGCTCTATGTGATTCCTCACAAAACGAACACTTAATTCCAGTTCTTGTCACATGCGCACTGTTCGAATTTCTGGTACTTCTTGCCCCAGTAAATAATGATGCAGTAGATCCGTAAGTTTGTACTTCCGGCTGAATCGAGTTGTATGATCCGGCTTCCATAATATTAATTTCGTTGTAAATAGCTCTACGTAAGTCACATAACAACCAAATCCTGTCACCGTGTCCTCTCGCGAGATTTTTTCTCATTTCTCCCGGAAGTTTGTCAAGCACAATAGGCACGAGTAAATCGCCGTAAGATTCTTGTTGCTGGCCCAAACTCTCCAGTGCACGAATGCATGTCTCCATTTTATCATAGAATTCACGAATATGATGTAAAGTATTTCTGGGGGCTGGTAGTTGAAGCAATGCTTGCATTGTTGCATGTATTATTTTATGTTTTTGGCCATATCTTTCTTTCAAAAGTTCTGTCGCACGTGCATAGTTTGTATTTGTAAGTGCAAAACCATCAATAGTCCGATTCGCCTCTCCTTCAAGCTGACTCTTCAAATATGAAAATTTTTGCACATCCGTTAAGTTACAGTTGAGATGAACAGTTGATTCAAACGAGTCCCAAAATGTCTGCCAGCTTAAAATGTCGCCATTAAATTTCGGTAATGAAAGTTTAGGTAACCTATGATACTGTGAACTTGCCGACATAAAAGAGTGATTGTTACCTAGGCTGTTCTGTGAACCAGCAAACTGAATATTTCCTCCCGGAAGTTGAACGTTGACATGACTTCCGGTCTCTCCACCTTCTGCTCCGTCAGTAAAGTTATCCCGCATATCGTCTGCTCTTATATGACTTATTGCTACATGATTCTCGGTAATTTCACTCGTACGACCGTCTGTCTGTGAGTTCATTTGACGATACGCTCTAAGTTTCCGTAACTGAATCTCGAGTTCAAGCTTATATTCTTCAGTGGTAATGAGTTCTTCTTCGATATCCTCGACTCCAGTTTGAGATAGAATCTTCTCATCGAGTACATCTAATGTATTTGTCTTCGATTCGAGGGCCTCCAGAATAGCGTTGAATTCTATTTTGTCTGATTTCTCCTTCGCTTCTTCGATTTTGCCCAAAAGCTTCGAAATAACGCTTCTGTTGCCGCTACGTACTAAAATTAACTTCTGTAGGTTCATCTTTGTTAGGTCACGGCACCAATATCGTATATTAGTTGATAAAGTACTACAGCGTTGTGTCTTCTTTTCTCAGTTTACTACAAGTATCTACGTCAAACAATAACAACAACAATGATAAACAATAATGACGTCACAGACGTCAACGTATCACAAAGCGCCATTTACGTACAAACTAGCGCGGGAAAGTATAATATGTAAATCTACGACAATAGGACAGCATACGTGCGCATGTCTCATTCTTGGTCTAAAACCGGACTTTTTACTACATGTAACGGGTTTAGGGGTTGATGCTTTTGGGGACAATGTTATATCGTCCTCACTGCTAACGCTTGTGTCACTCATAATGTCCCATATGAAATTCATTTCTCTACCGTTTTCTTTTTCACAGGTTGTCTGGAAGCAGTGATAGAATCAGAGATAGAATCAGTGACCTTCATTTCAGGTTCCGATACAGTCTGGCATACCCGTGTTGAAGAAACATGTGCATCATCTGAAATTCATTATAATTACATTTATTTAGAAGTTCATTCCGTAAATTTATTTGATGACATTTATTCAATATGAAATTTTGCTGAAGATATTCAGGTTAAATATTAAAACAAATATTTGCATTGTACATTTATGATGGAGTTGATTTGATAAATCCTATGCACTTACCCTCAAAAGAGTCGCTGTCGCGTCCTTGAACGGCATCTGCTGCTTCCGGCTGTAGGACATCTGAGTCTGTACTACCTGCATCACTGACGACAGGATGTACCATGTCCTGCTGGGATACTGCACCTTCCCAGGAGTCAAATAATGGAGTGGGATATGACAGATTTGGAGGTCCAGATAAAGTGTACACACACTTCTGGAGATTAAAAAATTCTGTGTATACACTACGCCACATGATCTGAAATAAAAAACATTTTTTTATGGAATGAACACAAATAAGAAAAACAAAATATTCATTTCAATAAGTACATTTGTAGTTCTACATTTTCAAGTATGTTTAATCAATATTCATTCAATTATGGAGTGAATATGTACCAGGTGTGAAAATGATAATAAACAAGTTTGCTTCTTTAAAAAGAAGCATGCAAAAGGTCTTTTTGCTGCTGTGGAAGATTTGTTTAATTCGAAAATATTTGGGAATTTTCTCTCATAAAAGACACAATGATTGGTTATAAATTACAATTATTTAACAAAATAGAATTCATTATATATATTGAATATAGTATCATAATGAAAGTTTGTTTTACACTTCATTTTTTAAATGTTTTGAAAGATTTTATGCCGGAGAAATGTACTTTTTTTCTTGGCGCATTAGGGATAGTTTTTCTGCAAAGAGAACTAAATTTAAGGTAAATAATAAATTTATTAAAAGTAATATCAAAAAGTATCTTATAAAATTCAATAAGCAAATTTTCGGTTAATGTTTTGGTAAGTATATGGAAACATTTCCTCTACATTTTCCAAAACGGGCATAAAGTATGTTAATCAAACAATTTTAAGACAAGGATTTACATAAAAAATATTTATATCATTTGATTAGAATAAACAGTATATAAAGCTGCATGCCTCCAACCACAATATTTGACGAAAATGAAACTTTAGTAAAATTTGTGCCATTTGCGCCAAAAAATCTCCGATGCGTTATTTAGTCATACCGGTTCAAAAGTTTAAGGAGCAGTAAATTTTCGGTACACGGTTCACTTGGTCATATTATAGTGCATGATGATATTGTAGCTATAATGTTCACTGTTACGATTTATCGAAACACGAAATATTAAAACGCTATTCAGAAACAATACTGTAATCGATTTATACATTTAAAAACATTAAAACGGAATGAAACATCCACGTAGCGCTAAGTAACATAAATCATATTTTTCGATTTTTTATGTACAGATTTGTTCACTTCGATGTTTATTTTTCGTTAAAGTTAGGTCGTATTTTAAAACGGAGCATGCGCGAAACCATTTATGTAGACTGTTCCTAATGATTTTACGCTTTAAATGAGATTTATTCACTACAATCAGATACGCAAAAAATGGATGCCGCCATCAATCAGTCTGAACACTGTGGAGAGGTCTGATGACCTCTCAAATAATTATGAAAGAATCATTCTAAAACGTAATACGGCGAATAATCAAGGCCAAGGGAGATAAATCGTGTTTACCACATTACTCGTCTGATGTAGAATAGGATTCAGTTTCTTAATTTAATTAATTTGATTAAGTTTATCACCAGACGAAAATTTTCATATTCTTTAGTAAAACTGTGTAGTATAGACATAATTATATATGTTAAAATATCGGATATTGTTATATAATTTTTATTATAAATGATTACAGTTGTTAACTAATTAAAGGAAAACAAAGTTTGTAAGTTAATTGTTTTACTTACTTCGGCCATGTGACCTTCTCACTGAGAAGCATTTGTGCCAGACATCTTCCTGAAGTTATCATTTGCATGCTTCCATGCACCCTCGATCCTGTTGGTATGCACAACCTCAATTTCTCCATTCTCGGCGTTCTTGTAAGTCTTTTTAAAGGAATACGTATGTATTACAGTGAAGTGTCTGTATCCTATATCATTCAGATGCAAGTATGCAGAAAACCCATCACTGTAGATAGTAGACCCCTTTTCCACCTGCTTTCAATTAAAGGTATAAGTGTACCAGCCGTTCTGTCTTTCACTGAATAGAGAATGACAGAACTTGAACTTCTCTCCACCATTCCAAATACATTTTGTACCCAAACCTTTCACCCCTTGTTAGTGTCTCCTCGGTGAAACTTCACCCGTCTACCAAATAGACTTTCGTCTGTCTCTACAATTCCGGTCATTTTCTTGTGACTAAGGTGTACGTGAAAATACTCTTTCATTAGTTCCCGGATGAAACTCCCCCAGTCCACGGCAGTCCCTGTGTAGCTTACACCCGCATACCTTGATGTCATTCCCAAAGACGGTCCCTCCAAATACGCCTTCATCAAGTGCATTATATCCTTTGCGTCAAGTTTACTTCTTTCAAAGAAACTGTATTTCATGATAGAAATAGATAAATACAGAATCCCTAGAGAAAGCCCAACACGGCAAAATTGAAAATGTTGCAGGCTCGGTTTGATTGAGCCTGTTCATGGACGGTACTGGAAAGTGCAAGTTACCGTCCACGCCCCCTAGCACCGGCTTAAGCAGAATTCAACATTTAAATGTGAAATAGTAAAATTTTGAATTTAGAAACATCCGCAGATGTGTTCATACGGCGGTTATCATGGAACCTTCAATGTGACACTTCCGTGCCATTCCATGAAAAGCGGCGTATGGTCCCCAAGTAATAAAAAGCGTGTGCCCTAAACGAGAAAACAATGGGCGGAACTAAATAAAATGGAATTTTGAAAGGGGATCAGAGGTTATGAAGCCTGCGTATCACAGATAAGACGTCAAAAGACAAATTTAAAAAGCAGGCAACATATCCTAAGGGTGATTCAACATTATTCAAGTAGGAATATTGGAACCACCCAACTAGAAAATGCCGAAAAGTTGAAACTAAAAATACCACAAGCACAACAATAATGTCGTGCTGAACGATCTTTAAGGATCTTTAAAGAAACCTCGTGGTCCCTGCTTCTATTACATCGGAGGGTGTATCCAGGGGTCTACGCGCACGTCGCCATCACAACCCGGTCTCTCGCATTGTCTAGAACGGCCTAACAGGCCTTGTTGAATTAACCATGTAGCCACTGTAAGGTCATCTTTGCTAAACAATAGGATTTGAAAAGTCGGAAAACGATATCTCAGAAGCATTTTCTTTTCTCTTGCGAAAGTTACCAGCAACGGGAATTTGCCTGCTTTCAGCCATAGTGAGAAAACTGTTTCACGTGTTCGGGTCCCTTTTATATCCGGAGTTTGATGGGGTTTACATATAAAAACTCGTTTTACATTAAAATTCAATTTGATTGCAAATGTAAACATGATGAGATTTTTAAGGGTTTATAAATATTTAAAAACGCACACAATCGTGTAAACGTTAATCTTACGATAAACGCGAATCAATACAGTATAAACAAGCAATTATCATAGTATTGCAAGCAATCCATAAGTCCCCTACCGGTAAGAGCCCAAGCAACATTCTGAAGGGCCATTGGCCATTCACTTATGTTCCTATTTAAATAAATTTGTTGAAAAAGTTCTTTAAAAGTGATTACAGGAAACAGTTTTTATGTACAGACAGACAGACGGACTGAAGGACACTCTAAAGTTATTTTTTTAAACATCCCTGTTATCAAAATATAACATTTTTAAAATCCTATCATGATTGAAGAATTTGGAGTAAAAATTACCAATTTCTCAAAAAAAAAAGTTCAAAAGGGGCATACTTCTGGATATAATCTTGCTAGAGTATTGAACACTCACAAATGTTGAGTGATAATAAGAAACATTTATATGAAGTTTGAAGTAGATACATTCAGAAAAAGAAGTTATTAAAAAAACAATGTTTTTTTTCATAAAAAAATTATGTTCAAGGGAGGTAATTCTGATAAATTTTGTGCTAGAGTTTTAAACCTTGTCACATATAATGTGGTTGATGACAAGCAACTTATATTTAAAGTTTGAAGAAAATACATTAAGAAATAAAGTATTTATAGTGAAACAAACTTAAAAACTAGAATCAGAAATCTTGAATTTCAGTCTATTTGTTGCCATAGCAACCAGAATTTTCAACATAGGAAGATAAGAAAAGGATGTGCATAATTTCCATACTGCCATCTACCCATATGTCAAGTTTCATAAAAATATTTTCAGTACTTTTTGCGTTATCACTGGATCCAGGTTATGTGTAAAATTTGCCATATTTTCAGTCTATTTGTTGCCATAGCAACCAGAATTTTCAACATAGGAAGAAAAGAAAAAGACGTGCATAATCTCCATACTGCCATCTATCCATATATCAAGTTTCATAAAAATATTTTCAGTACTTTTTGCGTTATCACGGGATCCAGTTTTGTGTTAAATTTGCC